TTCTGAAGTGTGAGAGCCTATAAATACACATAAAAGTTGAGATGTGATATGATTGCATCATGACGCCCAAGGGCACAGCCTAATAGATCATCATAGTGTGTAGTTGGATAATAGTCCGTTGCTGGATTTATTTTTCTAATTGATCTCAACATATGTTTTGCTACACTGGTTGTTGCTTCAATCTGTTGTTCTCATTAATGCTTACAAGCCGTTTCATCACATGATGCTGGTTCTACTTCAAAGCCAACCAAGTAAATTTAGCAGCAGGCCAGGCCAGACAGCAGCTGAGCACAAAAGGCACGGGGTTGCCTTCCTTCAACTAGTGAAGGAAATCCTTCATTGGGTCATCATGATGTACTTTCTTCATCCTATAAGCCTCCATGTCTTCCGCGGTAACCTCATCGTTCCATTTGACGTTGTACTTCCGCTTCCTCTCATCCTTCTCCTCTCTTTTCCTCTGGTCCTCCTGTAAGGGGAGAGAAAACATCAATCAATTATCCAAGCAACAAGCCATAAACCCATCAAACTCGCGAGCGGAACTGGAGAGCAAGAAGGGTATTGGACTGGACACTGTCATATTGTTACCTTTTTAAGTGCTTCAGCAAGTAACTTCTCATCCAACACCAAATCATCAGGGACCTCGGTTCCCCAAGTAGCCATCCTCTTCTCCTCCGCTGGTGCTGGCAACTCTGTTTAAAATTCATCAAACCCACTAGGATTACATCACAGCACAAAAAATGATACTAGGAATCAAGACGCACTTCTTGAATTAAATAAAGTATGAGAATCTAGGACAAATGATACACAACTTCAAGTCCATGCTGATCATATCTTAATCAGCTAGGAAAACATGCAGAATGATAGAAGTCGAGAAACAAACCATCATCAGCTTCTTTCCGGGCAATGTTGGCTTTCATTAAATCGGTTGCAGCCTCTGCAGCCTTGATACCAGCAGTGCCAGTGCAGTAACTGTTGCGAACAGTCTGCCTACAGCATTTATAGCCCCACTGATGATCTTTCCACCATGAACCCCATACACTTGTATGGTTATTAATGTAGATATCTTCTTCGTACTTGCTTTTGGGAAGCACAACCTCCTGTAAGCACCATTGAAGAAAGAAGGATCAGTATACTGTTGTTTATCATGACCAGTACCATCTAATATCCGACCATCCTAGAGGAACTCAAAGAAGCAGAGACAAAGGTTCAATTCCATTGATTCCCATGTCAATCTTAGGAAATCTACAATCACGCAAACTGGCAACAGGGTTCCAAATGCAGCAATAGCTCAACTCTATGAAACATAACCAAAGGGGTCGTTTAGATGGATGAATTAGAAAACGAGATAATTTGGTCAATTGTCTCATTTTGCAAAACGAGTCAATTCGAATTACCTGCCCCCGCCCCAGACAATTGCAATTGCCTCAAAACGAGTCCATTCAAAATTCCCCATGCCAAATTGTTCCATCCAAAATTTATGTCGCCAAACGGGTGAATTTGGCCCAATTGTCTCAAAACAAGACAATTGTGTCAAATTGATCCATTAGAACTCCTCATCCAAACGGCCCCCAAGTCAAAAGGTGCAAGAGAAACCTACTAGAAGCAAAAAAATATCTCATTACCTGTCCCTTAATGATTCTCCCAGCACGATCGTACTCAACTTGACTTTCACTCTGTCCCAGTAAAAGCTCTTTTGGAATCTCATCTTGGCTGGCAGCATTCCCATACTTCTCAAGCATTTGGTCCTTTGTTTGAGTCTTCAGTTTCTCCTTATTCACCTTAAAGTTCTTATACAACAACTCTGCTTGGGAAGGAGCAGCTTGCATGTGAATATCTTGCCCCTTATCAAAAGCTTCCCATGAATGGATGTTGAGCTGCTTGAACTCCTCAGCTTGACCACTGTTTCTGTACTGGTTGTCTCCCTGTAGTTATTAATCGGAAAGGTCAGGAACTTGTTGAAGCCAAACCATACAAACTAGGACCCACACCTTTCAAACAAAAATATATACTGTAAGTTGCACTCACCAAATAGAACTTCTCGTTGGGATCTGCATCTGGAAGTGGGTCCTCGCGCATTGAACGGGTTTTGGGGTCATAATAGGCAGAATTAACATCAAGATTCAAGAGATACTTTGCTGTATCTTCCCTAATACGCAGGTTCCTGCATTCAAGTAACAAGAATATTTCAGCGAAACATGTTCTCTACCATCCAACCAGCAACTGCAAACCATTCTAAACCGCCTGTCATAATCTTACCCATGATAAAACAAACACAAACAATACAGAAAAATGTCAATTATCCTTACCTAACAGTACCAGTGCTACCACCACCAGTTGTCCTTACACGCTTCTCAACCTTAGCAAAGTCCATTTGTTTGGACTCGTCAACTTTGGCTTCATCCACTCTTACATCATCGTCAATGTCCTCATCACTAACTTCCTCAGGATTCTCGCTGTTATTTTTCTCTTCCAGCTTCTTAAGCTGTTCCTCCTTCACATACCTGCTCCTAGCTGCATCACGGGCTTCATACCTTGCAACCACTAGTGCGTAATTGGCGGGATCATATCCGTTCCATCGATCGCGTTTGCCATCGTAATCAAGCTCAAAAGTTTCTATTTTTTCGTCAGGGGCAATATGCTTGTTATTCCATTTCGCCCCTATCTTCCTAGGTCTGTCCATGCAAGCTTTTGCATCGTGTGTCATAGCTCCACAGCTGCAACAACAATCATACAGGATGAGTTACAAGTACTCATTCAAACCATACCTAAACACGCGGAGAGACAGATGCAAACAGAGGAAAATAATGCAGGCAGGTATCTGAAGTCTACTTACTTCTGACACGCGCCTTTCCTGTATTTCTCTGCCTGGAATACTTTTGCACCCCTATCATACCATGATTTTGTGTAATTCGGATCCGACTTCCATTTCCTTTGATGTTTCAAACTCTAACAAAGATGGGCAAGGAGCGTGCGGTGATGGGAATCAGCAAGTAATGAAAAGGCAGAAGCTTGAATGAAAAAGATTGAATAAGAAAGCATACTCACCGGTTTCTCAGCATTAAGATACCAAGGAGCAGAAGACATATACTGAGGAATGTGAGGATTAATCTCTTTCCCATCTTCATCAACCTCAGCAGGAGCAAGCCCAGCTTTACGGGCTTCTTCCAACTCGATCTGCTTCCTGTGATCCTCCCTCGACTTGAAGGCACCTACAAGATTTCCACCACCACAAATGAACTTCAGTATCCAGCGGCATAGGAAGAGAGTTACGAATTCACAAGCAGAGGAACCCTAATCAGCAACCCTAAGATACCAATTTAGTAGCAAAAGAGAATTTTCGGAGAACAAACCGGGAACCCCCAAAAAAAACTACCTGATGCCGTCGCCATGGCGCCGACGTGTAGGTTGAAAAGAAAACGGCCTTCCGGATCGCCGGACGTGCAAGCAGCCGCCGAACGAGTTTGTTGTCCGCGATAGTGGAAACGGTCGTAGAACCGCGAACCAAGGGCTTAGAGAGCTTCACTTGCGATCCGGCCCAACAAAATGATGAGACACCGGGAAAGAAAACAGAAAGGATGCCGGACAGGGTGCCGAAGCGAGGGATTGCCTCCTTGCAGTTGCAGAAGCTGTGGACCAAGGTTGTCAAACCGGTTTATGCCAGTGTGCCGGTTTAGCAAGTGAAATGGTTCAACCGGTGGTACATACCGGTTTGTGCCGGTTCATGCCGGTCAATATTACAAATAAAATTATAAATACTCATATTTAAACATGACATTTAACGTCAATACCTAAGCATTTATACTTGAATCCAACAAATAACATCAATATTTAACTTTTATACTCATAAAATAAATAATAAAATAATTTTTATCAATTAAATTCTCTAAAATAAAGTCATTTTACTTAGAGATTCGTATATCGATCATGTCGGTCATACCGATGGTGTCACGCCGGTTTTATGACCGATACCGGTTGAACCCGGTACAACCGGTGGCACGCCGGCCGGCGTGACAACCATGCTGTGGACGAAATGCTTACGTTGTCCTTCTCTCTGAATGATGAGAGACAACAGACAAGAGACCGGTACGGCACCGCATTAGACTACGAACCGACCTCTATTTTTGATGGGCTGCAAATGAGCCGAGCCGAGCCGAGTAGAGTTTTACTCCAGTTTGAGCTCAGCTCGTTTATAAACGAGTCGAGTTCGAGTTCAGCTCGTTTATTAACGAGCCGAGTCGAGTCGAGCTCGAGCTAGTTTGTTTACTAAAATCTTGACTTTTATTTGGTACTTCATTTTGTATATCATGGTACATATGTATTATTTTGTTAGCTAATCTCATATTATACTTTGTTGGTATATATATCATTTAGTTAATAATTTTTAACTACTCCATATCATGTTATTTCATAGTATTGAAGCAATCTATGATACATAATTTTTTTAAGTAGAAAATAAGATATATTTGCTCACATACTCAACGTGTTAAACTTTATATATGGTGAGATATATAATTTAACAACCATATGAATTAAAATCAAAAGATATAGATTGATTCGTCCATAAGTCGGTAATCGAGTTGGCTCTCTAGCCACATGTTGAGACATTTCATGAGCTCTAAACGAGCCAGCTCACGAGTTTAGCTCAACAAGCCACCGAGTCGAGCTAGCTCGCGAGCTTCATGAGTTGAACAAAGCTTAGCTCATGTTCGGCTCGTTTATTAACAAGCCGAGTTTCGAACGAGCTTTTCTCGAGTCAAACGCCGAGCCGCGCCCTATTTTTGATCGAGCCCAGAACCGACCCTTTTTATGTGAACAACTTGGCAAAGATAAAAACAAAGGATTAACCATTACTCCAAGTGAATGCAATGCAATACCTTTGTCACTTGCTCACCAATTGTTAGGTGATGAAGTTGGCCTTCAGAGCTTCTAAATCCTAATGGGTTATGGACTTATGGGCATCGATTGCTCGAGCTTTTAGTGTGTGCTTCTTCTTTGTCACTGGACCAAGAATGTGTTTGTTGTTCAGTGAGATATCCCTCTCCAAACTCTTCAAGATTCGGGTTCGAACAAAGACAGCTCATCAATGACCGGGAGAAGGAAGAAAGTAGTCAGTAGTACCCATCATTAGAAGCTGGGAAGGCAAATGACAAACATTACACTTGCACCAGTCCATCTCAATTGTGCAGAGGAAGAGGGATGATGTAACCCTGCTTTTGATGGCGGGTTAGACAGCACCCAATCACACAGCTAAAGTCAGCTTCTTGCTCTGTCGCGCTAACCTTACGAGCCATTTCATCAAAAAGTGTTGAGCAAAAACAGCTCTCTCTCTCTCTCTCTCTCTCTCTCTCTCTCTCTCTCTCTCAAGGAAGCTTTAAAAAGAAAAGGACGCACATCAAATATACATTCTGTCCTAAAAATGTGATCTTCGGGAAAAATCACACAATGAAACAACACAAACAAATATATGAATCTCAACAGATCAAAGAATTTGATTGACATCAACATTGAATATCAGAGAAGAAAAGAGGGTGAAAATATCTGCAAAGCCCTTCTCCAGAATTTGATGTCAATTGTTCTACCAAAACAATACAATCAACAAATATTCATGACAACAGTCGTCACAGCTAAAGCTCCTAGTTCTATGTACTGAGGATTCAAGTTCGATTGTACATTTCTCTTTGGGCAGCCAGGCAGACCCAACTTCTTCACCCCCTAATATGGTGGAGGAGGATAATATCCAGGAGGGCCTACATGACGAAGAAAAGAAACAAATGTTAGCAAACAGAAGATTAGTTCAACAATGACCATGAAGAAAAGGAGGTAAGCAATGCTGCAGCATGTCATATTACCTGGAGGATAAGGCGAGCCTTGTGGAGGTGGAGGATAGGCTGATGGTGGAGGAGGATAAGCTGAAGATGGCGGAGGATAAGAAGTTGGCATAGAAGGGTAAGGAGATGGAGGATACGCTGAAGGCTGATGATACGAGGAGTAAGGATGTGATGGATAGGGTGCTGTTGGGGGAGCATTAGCATATGGAGAGGCTGTACTCATTGCTCCATATGCTAACGTGGTTGCAGGTTGAGGTCGGCCATAACCTGCAGCAGTTGCGGGAGGGCCATAACCTGCCATGGTAGCAGGTGCTGGAGGTGGTGCATATGCTGATGGTGGTGGTGCTGAGTACATTGAGATGTGGGGACCATGTGTTCCGTATGAAGGTGCCGAATGAGCGTAACTTGTGGCTGGTTTCTGCGAAATGAGCGAACAAAGCATAAATACAGCTTACACAATGGAGGGCTGGCAGAATAGGGTTCTTTGGTATAATTTAAGTATATTTGGCGCACAACCAGAGGACTTACATTAGCATTGGCATAGTGCATTATGAGTCGGACTTCCCCAGCATGCCTGGATTGGCAAAAAAAAAAAAAAAAAAAAAAAAAGGAAAATGGAGAGCTTAGAAGAAGATTGCAGCTGAAAGAAGGACGATATACCACGCGAACAGCTCAAGTGCCATAGTCTTGAATAAGTCCATAAAGAGAACACTCAATTGAAATGCTCCTATGCTCTTGAATAAGGCCATAAAGAGAACACTCAATCGAAGTGCTCCTATGCTCTTGTGCTCTTGAACAAACGAATTATAACATGCAGTCTCGTCTTTGATTCCTTGGTGGAATATTGGAATTAAACCACTCTCAGCGAAGAAGAGGAGAACAGGAACTATGGACATCCCTCTATTGATTTCATTCAACAAGAATTAGGAGTAGAAGCAGAGAAGGTGTTACAGCATAAAACGAACATGGAACTATCTTCATGGTACAGGTAGCAATATAAAGGATTATTAAAGCTTGATTGTGTTCCGAGTTAAATTAATGCAAGAAGTATGCACGCCTGCATGCCAACAAACACCAATGACACCGCTAAGAGGATCTGTTATAGCGGAAAACTGAAGTCTAAACCATATAAAACACCTGAGCAAACTTCGACTCAGTTCGCCTACGAACTTTAACCAATGAAAGAGAAACATGAACTCAAAGTAAACCACCTAAAAAAAGTAGTAGCAAAGAGAGGCCATTTACCTGCCGGTTTTCGTTTGAAGTGGCCAAGTTGTGTCATCGTAGCCCTCTGATAGAACCTTGTGCAATTGAATTCTGAGAGAAACAGTCAGAAACGAAAAACAATGTGAATAACTGGCAAAATGCTCAAAAGGATCATCCAAAATAGTTAACAGTAACTCACTTCCCACTGCCGATGAAATCGTCAAACGTCAATGTATTGCTGTTCCAAACTAGGACATTCAATTCCCTCAGTCCCTCAATAAGCGTGTACACAAACTTCTCTTGAAACGTGGGGTTCTTGCCGCCATCTATTAAGCACAACACATATGGCCCAACAGTTTAGCACTACAGCAGATCAACCATAACTTGTTTAGTTCTGCATCATCATCCAGAGGTCGCATCCAAGCAACAACACATTATTCTTACCTGTGCAAGTTCTTGTCCGGGACTTGTTGCTACCATACTCAACACAAACGTAAGGATCCTGCCTTGAAATCCATTCGGTATCTTTCAGTTTCGTACACCCAACAACTGCAAGCGGCAAACGCAGAAAAATCAACCCCAAGAACCCATTCGTCAAAGGTTCAATCTTGTGCCCCCTGAAACCGAAGAGAGAAAGGAAATCAAAGGGAAGAAGAAACCCACCAGTGACTTCAAGCAGCTGACCATGAATCCCAGAAGCGAACGACATCGAATTGCTCAGAAGACGAAGAGAAAGAACTGCAGGTCGATGAAAAGGAAGATGTATTTTCTGGAAAAAGAACTGCAGGTCGATGAAAAGGTAGATGTGCTTTTTGGAGAAATTGACTTTGGAGCTCCAAGGCCGTGCCCTTGTTTAAATAGAAAATGAAAGAGAGGGGGTAGATCTTGTTGCTTCCAGAGGAAAGGGGAAATCCGCGGCCGCGTAAAATTGATTGCTGCAGCCACGCGGTTATCAAGTGGGCTGTCTCGTGTTTTCGTCTAATCTTCCGTTTCGCGGCGCCTCTTCTAGTCGCCGCACCAGCGCCAGCGCGGTGGTTTCACCGCTCTTTCTTCCCCTTTCCCGTTGGGAAGTTTTCTTCCAAAATAATAATTAATCGACTTTTACTCTTCCGTTCCTTCTTCTTAAGGTGGTTCCGTAGTTATGTGATTCTCTTGCAATTAATTAAGTATACGCATCAACGGTTTTAAATAGCAATCGGGCTAGTGATTGACGGTTGACCAAACTAGGCCGACATCGGAGGGAGGTTTTAAAGTTAACCCCGTTTCGGCCTTCAACCGGACCAGCTAATAAGGTGATACAAGCATGTAAATTCGTACCGGGATTCTAAATCGCTATCCGGTTTTTAGTAGTATGAAAAGGTTGAACCAAGATTTCAACATAAAATATACTATTATCGACTTTTTTTGGTACAACCTCCGATACAGTTTTACAATCCTTGTATAAATATTCAAGATTCGTATCACTTGTCGATACAGTTTTACAATTCTTGTATAAATATTCAAGATTCGTATCACTTGTCGATCAACGTGTTGTCACTCGTCTCGTATATTCTTGGGTTAATAGCATGATTTGCGGAAGTAAGTGGAAGTGACCATGGTGGTTGCGCAAGTCTAGTGCATCTTGCTTGTGGGCAACCAGCAGGTTGGGAGCTTGTGAGGACAAATCCACGACTTCCATTCTCTTCAAAACAGGAGAAAAGCTTCTAAGATTTCATTAAGACGGACGGTGTACATCAATAGAACTATGTACATTATATTCCAAAATCCAATGAAACAAATACACACAAGCTGGTGCAAAGGGGAAGTCTTACATCTTAAGTCCGCATTTTGCTTACGGTGACCAATAAATCCAGAATCAACGAACCAAGTTACTATAACTTGTCATAAACCATTATGTACAGAACCGTGCAGAAAGAAAAGAGGAGATTATCATACTCCTTTTTTATTTATTTCATTCACTATCATAGTCTTCGTCATCCCCAAAAGTGAACACAGATGCATCAGCAGCCATTGCCTTGAACTCGCTCTCCGTGTTGTTATGCCCAACGCTCGAGGTGTCATTTCCCCCCTTTGGCTGATTACTAATGTGTACCGGTTTCTCGGATGCTGCATTCCCCAGAGAGACCTGTTCCGTCGCTTTTGTTAAACTCGCAGCTTGTTGATCCGATTTAGCAGTAGCCGGCGTGGCAACAGATCCTACATCGGCTGCAGTAGTAGCTTGTGGTGCTGCGCTCGCTTCATCTCCTTTTCTCTTCGAAGACACCGATTCCTCTGATTCACTGTCTGAAAAGACATCATCCTTATCGGGGTTTGGTGCAGAGTCTTTGCTTTGCATCGAGGAGGCCGTTGTGCTTGGTGCTGAAGCTGTCTCGGGTGAGGTAGTAGGAACAGTGCTCAAGCCTCCTCCGTCGGACTTTGCTTGGGGGGTGTTTAGGGGCACTGGGAGAACAGTGGTATTATTAGCATCAACTAGAACCACCTCAACTTGAAACCCTGGTGATGGAAGTTTCCTCTGCGAAGAACCAAAAATCAAGGTGCGGATTTATAAGAGAATCAAAAGCAGAGGGGATATCATCATCTAAGGAGGAAAATGAATAAGAATTCCTACCTTGTCAAAACCGTCGATATCACCCGTGTTTAGGACTTTTCTGTTTTCCATCATTGTCGTGTTTAACCAACTGATACAACAAATATGAAACAAGTCAGTAATCATGTGTATATTTTTACATGAAATCTAGAATATGTTTACAGGGTGAGGTATACAGACAAGTAAAAATCTCCCTGGCGGTCATGAAACTGGACTTTGAAGTCTCCAGCCACCTCTGCCAGACCGGGCTCCCCTGGGAGAGCAAATACCATAACTCCTTTCTTCGGCGCACTGAACCAATAGTCTTCTGGCTGCAAGTTGTATAAAAAACATATAACAAGCTCACCTAAAGGCATAGATGAGCTATAAATGGACTATACATAACAAGTTCCAAGTACTAATAAGGCCTACCGACAAGTCCTTGGTCCTCGAATGCTTTTTCGTAGAAAAGAGAACACCTGCAGTAGGACAAAACAGCAGCAGCAGTCATCAATCGACATAGGTATCATATAAAAATTCTGTTTTCTTGACCTTGGATTCATGCAATCTGCTCATTCTTGGATAGCTATCTATATCAAACATGTACATTTCCATCCCGTAGGAATTTTCGTAGTAGGCGTTGACTACTATAGATGAGCACATGCCCTAAAAAAATCGACCTTTTATAGACTTCGCTAGCTCGCGAGGATCATTAGCAACTATGCCCAAGGTGAGAACCATACAAGTAGATGATGGTAACACACAAGCTTATACCCCAATACAAAAAGAATAATTTCAGTAAATTGGGCTGCATGATTAGGTAGGGTTGATACTAATCGATGACTCCACAAGGAACACATGAAAACCACAACAAAAATTACAGACCATTATGATCAGAAACAGTTATAGCAGGCCTGATCCAGTAAGGGCACCGATGAAGCCGAAATCCCCTCAGCATGCACCTGTATGATATTAAAAAACTCAGCAAATCTAGAAAGGGGAAAAAACAACAATGATAATAGTGAGAGTCCAGACCAAATCCACTATTATACCTTCGGCCAGGCTGGTTTTCACCATTGAAGTATGTCAAGGTACGCTCAAAATACTTCACATATCTCTGCAAGAGAGCATAAAGTTTCGTGTCAAATAACATGGAATCTGAAGATATAACCGTGCAGACTGCATTCTTTAATAGCATACCAATAACCACTTACAATTTGACTGGGTAGAACAAGTCCTTTTCCATCAAAACATCTCTTTTGATTGTAGTAATCAATGGACTCTTCTGCTGTAGGAAAGAACTGCAGAGAGAAGCTCGTAGTTTGTAAGAACTGGTTTCTCTTAGGGAAAATGAAACTTTTTCATTGAATACCTCATCCAGCTATTTCAGAAATGTGCAGATTCTTACTTTTAAGTACAGAAGAAGGCTAGAAATCATGAGCCCTGTCCTTGCCATTCCAGCCTTGCAATGGACAACCACAACATTCTCAATATCTTCCTTCAACCATGAGTAAGCACTATGACAAAATGATATTATCAGTTGAATTGGGGGGCAGTTGTGGTCATCAAACGGAAAACTAGCCACCTGATCATAGAGGACAACACAACACCCATAAGAGAAGAAACGATTTTTTTCCAACACGAAGACAGCAAAGGAAGAATCAAGAACACTCACCTTTCCTTCAAATAATGATGCGTCATAAAGCCTCTCAGAACAAAGGTTGTATACTTTGTACTTATCCTGTATGAAGAGTAAACCAGCTCACCCTCAGACACCAAACATAAAGAACACAGATTAAACAGATACAGGTCACACTTCAAGTTCCACTGCTATCCCTAGCGTATTCAATTACAACCAGTGATGCAGTGGATACTGAGTGAAGATTATAATGTTAGATTAGCACAGACTTCAATAAATTGCAAGTAAACGAATAAGCTTATAAGGAGAGGCAGATATATATTCTATATATTGCCTGCAGCATGAGGTACATAGAATCAGAGCACAAAGAGAATTAGAATCAGAGCACCCCGGTCAAGTGATACATATTGAATGTGAAAGAGAGTCCAGAAACAGTATAAATACTTCACCGCTACTAAAAACATAAGGGCTAGCTGGATTGTCATATTGGAAAACAATTGAATATGTAATCCCACAGAATAACCAACTGCTGGCACAATCATTAGACAGGATTCAATTCCAAAAGTATTGAACATATGATTACCTTGTGATGCATTTCGAAAAACTTTATCACTTCTTCCATGTGGTTACGGTAGAACCCCTGCAGCATTCAGTTGAACAGCTCATCCATGCGTACTGGTTGAAAAACAGCTCAAGACTGAAAGAGGGTAGATAAGATTCCTTACCTCAACAAAGCCAAAAAAACCAGAACTCATATCACCAGCAGGAAATCCCATAGCAATTATATTTTCAGTGATATAGGTCATGTCGAGATCAAATCCCCCGTCCTGAAAGGAAGAAATAACAATAGAATATTAAGGGATAAAGCAGATTATGAATTATTTTCGTCAACATCAAGTAAGAAAGTAGGTCCGATCTCTGGAAAGCCAGAGTTAGTGCAACGGCTTTAGATGCTGATGATTCGTGACACAAAAAATCAATGCCCTCTTGACACTATATTAAAAAATGAACAAACTTAAGCATACCATATGTTTTCTTTGCAATATATGTATGGACATACTGAATTTAACAGGTGAAGTATGATGACTACCACATCATGGAGTAGAGTATTAAATATAAGGAAAGAAGTCTTGGCATCTCTTCCATACCTGGTATCTCCTCTTATTTTGAGAAACAGCATGCCGAGCCTTGACTTGTACCACTTTCACTGCATTCTTAGATGTATCAACTAAACCTTTGGTAATTGTTCCAATGAAGCCAGAAGCCGCTTCAGGTCCATGACCCTCATCTGCCGGAGGTGATTTTGGAGATGACCGCAACCCGAAACCACTTGTGAAGCGTGAAAAAGTTGATTTTCCAGCACCTCCAGTAGGGGAATCGTCGACTGTGGTAGTCAACTGCTGAGGGATTTTGAAACTTCTAGCCCAAGAAGACAACTTAGATGGAACATCACGCACAGAAGTATCTGATCCGGAATCTACTGGAGCAGTGGGTTGTCTCTCAGGAGACTTTGCTGATGGATCAGCAGGTACTGAATCCATTTATTCTGATCCCACTTTCTTCAAGATTGTTCAAATGACCAATTCAAAGACTTGCATGAGCACTCTTGAAAGGACCAACTGCATCACACATTAAGTTAAGATAAACCATTCATTAGGTTGCTAACGTGAATAGTAACTATACATAATTATGCATGTGACTATGCAGACATGGTATAATCAAATATGACAAACTCCAACAGTGACAAAAGAAGATAGTTATCAGAAGAACAAGACCACAAAGATGCAATAGAATTTGTCATGAGTACCATTGTTTCACTTCCAAGAAGTTAAATATCTGAGAAATTCATATGTTGTACAGTGCACACATGAGAAAGAATCTTGTACAATCGACGACCCTCTCATGCAAGGACAAGACTATACTTTCCCAACATCGTAAAATAAGAAGTAGATGGAATCACACAGATTTCAGGTGAAGTTCATACAGCTCCACTAAAGTAACAATCTGTGACGACGAAGACAATAGCAACTGGATACACCCACGCTGTCAGGATAAGACTACTCTAATGAGCAGAACTGACACTAGGGGAGGTGGCCAAGTTCAATCGTGTTGCAACAGTCGAAATGAAAGTTTGAGGTGGCCCATCGAAACGAGATAAAGCTTCTCAAAGAGCCTCTCACTCCCTGCTTCCTCTAATTCTAACTCCCAATGAAACCTTAAATACTTGCCAATGTAAACAATTTGACACAGAACTTGAGCTCATTGTGTATTACTAATCAAATACACGAAGTCCTCAAAACCCCAAATCCATATCCTAGTTGATTTACTCACTAGCCTACACCAAACCATTTGGATCAAACACTGGCAGTGATTGGCCATCTAAGTCCCAGATTATACCATCGCAGCCAACCAGTCCAGATAAAACCTCCTTTGGTAGGATTACCTAAAACAACTAGCGCCGTATAACCTTTTAGTTGCGCCAAACCGACTTGCCAAATTTGTCCGACTCTAATCACCTCATACTTTGAAGTCAATCTACTAACCGTAACATAAATTCCTACTTCAAAACCAATTTATAACCTACTAAACAAGCCGCCGAGCTATGTGAGGAGCAGTAAATTACCGGGGAAAGAAACAATCTGACGAAATAGGAACTTGAGAATTGCTGGAGGGGAGATCAGCAGCTATCAAATTAGCTTACCTTCCTGAGATTCGACGCAGAATGGAAGAATGAGGAGCTCACAAGTGAGTTCCGGAATTAGGGTTCGAGAGGGTAGGAAGAGTGTGCTAGAGGAGAAACTGGTGAGAGTAGAATCAGGATGATCTCTAGCCAGGTTCGACGATCACGTGCTTGATCTGGTCAAGCGGCCTACACTTCCAATTGTGGACATTAACATCAGTGATCCGACGGTTGGCATTAGCTAGGACTTCAATATTTTTGCAGGGTAGTCGTTTGGGTAAGACGTCGGACGTTTAGAGCAAGTTGTTTTATAGAGTTACAGGTATAATACTGAATGGTTAAAGGTCGTCCTAAAAATTACTAACCATCGTCCTAACTTAATATGTAATTTACCAAATTGCCCATTTTGAATTTCAAAATCAACCACAAAACAAATAACTCCTCCCCCTTCCATAAATCTAAAAAAAATATATAAAACAAAATTCAACAAATTATCTTATGGACCGAATCATAAATCGTAGTAAAAGAATAGAAAATTATTGATATAAACCAAACAAATCCAAAAAAACATAAAACCCCTCAACCGAAGCCAATTTTCGGTTGTACCATGGCTCAACCTAAGCCAATTTTCGGTTGTACCATGGCTCAACCTAAGGCAATTTTCGGTTGTACCATGGACCAACCGAAAATCACCTTCGGTTGCACCATGGCTCAAACGAAAATCACCTTCGGTTGCACCATGGCTCAAACGAAGCCAATTTTCGGTTGGTCCATGGTACAACCGAAAATTGCCTTAGGTTGAGCCATGGTACAACCGAAAATTGGCTTCGGTTGAGGGGTTTTGGAATTTTTTTGAAAAAAAAATCAGATTTTTACCTCGTCGGAGTCGCTACTCATGATTCAGACGTATTCTCAACGATTACGACTCGAGAATGTCAACGATGAATTCGAGAGTGTGGGAAATTGAATGTTTTTCATTTTTTTAGTTAAAGTGATGTTTGTTTGCTAAAAATGCCAAAAGGTTAAAAGTGTAACTTTGTTATTTTTTAGGACGATCAATAGTAATTTTAAGGACGACCTTTATCAATTCCCTTTATTAAACATGTCCATTTACTATTTTTTATATTAAATATATTCTTGTACTTTGGAAACATTATCAAACATGTCCTTCTGTTAAAATTTTCATTAAAAAAATCATCAACCATGGTTGAACCGAGATGTAGATGACCCGATATCGGCAAATGAGGAAAAATGTCAGTTTTGTCCCCCATTTTATTATTCTAGGTCTCGTTAAAGTGAAATTATTAGAGGTAATTGGCTCTACAAAAAAAACCTAAAAAATTCTAAAGTGAAATTACCAGGGATATTTTAGACATTTGTGTCGTCCAAACCAAGGTACGACCGTGGTTGACCGTTTTTGGGTGAAAATATTAACAGAATGACATGTTTGATCATTTTTCTAAAGTACAGAGGCATGTTTGATGCAAAATATAGTAGAGGTGCATGTTTGATAAAACGACATAGTAGAGGGGCATATTATACATATAACCCCGATTTATACCATTATGCTGGTTTAACATGTGGAATGATTCGATTAATGGTATAACTAGTTCTTTCGATTCATGTCGGTCCAACTAAATATGCAAAAATGTTTAAAAAAAATTAACATCAGGGATCGATTAGCATGCTAACTCTTCTAAGGGGTTGGAAAAATGACACTCCTATTAATTATAGTTATTTTTTGTATTAAATTCGTGTTGCATTTAATAATCTTTGGAAATTAAAAACTCATCTTAATTACATTCCTTTTTTTTAACTACCATTGCACTGATACAACTATCATTGCACATGTATACTGAACTCATATTAATTACGTTCCTTTTTTGGAACTACCATTGCACCTGTACACTAATACCATTGCACTGATACAACTACCAGTGCACTAAAAAAGGAAAGTAATTAATATGTATTTTTAATTCGTACAGATTATTGAATGAAACACAAATTAATTATCTTAAAAACCTATAATTAATAGAGGGTGTCATTTTTTCAACCCTTTTAGTGGTAGGCATGCTATCTCATCCAATTCCATCAAATGAATTTCATCATGTATAAAAACATATTTGGAGACAATTTAATTACATCTTTATTCATATTTAAATAAAATACGACATTCCAAATAAAATAACAAGTATAGTATAACCTCTATAAATTCATATATAGTTAGGACCGTGAAACTTATTAATTTATAGTAGTTATTAATTAATCAATAAATTAATAATTAGTAGTTTAAAGTGGTTTTTCTTATGATGTACGTTCATCATATCTTCCAAACATTTCAAGTTCATGTGATATGATTAATGGTATGGGTTATCGTAATAAGATGGATGTAAGTCATTTGTTGGAGTATCCAGGTAAATGATGAATGTATCGCGACACAAATGTTAAAAGAATTTGTGGTTGATGTCATTGGGGGTTCAATTGAGGATGAAGGAGATGACGATTCAACACCTTTCGAACTGGTCACGCGAAAAAAAGTACTTAAAGCCGCATCAGCTCTTCCAAAATACTTGATGCAATTAGAGAAGACAACACTGGAGACTTTGAGTGCAATGAGGAAAGTTCAAGATGAACCTTTTTATATAGGAAATCTAAATATTATTAATGGGCTAAAGCATCAGAGTCCAAACAGTTTAACAGACAGATGAGTGACCTGCCAACCCATTTTTCAGTTTTATCCCAATTCCACCTAAGATGGACCATAAAGTGGGCCGCTTGGTTCCCCTCCCTTCTTCCAAAACTCCAAGTGACTGGTCCGGTTTGGTTCGCCTTCTCCTGAATTTCTCGTACACGTACTCCTTCCTCCAGTCGAGAGCTCCCCATTTTCTTCAGTTTGAGGATAGCATTCATGCAGTCTGATTCCACAACCACCGCCCCAAAATTCTCCTCCACCATCTGCAGCCCGAATTCGATTGCCCGTAACTCCGCCAGTTTCGGCGGCCATGGCCGTCGCTCTCTACCTACCGGTGCCATCACAAATTTGCCATGGGAATCCCTGGCGACTGCTCCCATTCTGATCCCCCCTTCCAGCACCGCCGCATCAACATTTACTTTCATCCAACCTTCAGGCGGTCGAATCCAGGTTCGTGGTTCCTTCTCCTTCCCCTCTATGGCCTTGCCTTGAAGTTGATTGAACTCCTCCCAGTAATTAGTCGCCCTAAGCACAATTTCCCACTCTTCTGCCTTCTTTTTGTTGAACAATTGATTGTTCCTCTCGTTCCACATAGCCCACAGAATCATTCCCAATTGACCTAGGGAATCATTGTCCACCTTTTCCATAATCTCGCACAGCCAGCTTCCCATGGATTGGTTTGGCTCTAATTCAAACAGTGGTCTGAAATCCGAGGGTCGCCACACTCGAATAGCCCACTGGCACTCCTGAAAGATATGGTTTTGGGTTTCATCTAAATGGCAGAATGGGCATTCTGCATATGCCTCCCTCTTCCTCCCTTCAATGTTCTTCCCCGTAGCTAGGATGTCGTGAACCATTTTCCATACGAAGATTTTGATTTTGGTGGAATCACCAAGCGCCACAGCCTTTCCCAATTCATGAGGTCATAAAATTCAACCTCTGCTCCCATTTCTGTCGAATCATCCTCCTGGTCGGCCTCCTCTTGCGTGATAGCTAGGGCTGTTGTAGCTAACTTGTAGGCAAACTTAACAAAGTAGGATCCATTCTTCAAGATGAACTTCTATTAGACTTGAACTTCAAGAATAAACAAAACAACTATATATACATATTTTTTTAGATTATCTTAATTATATTATAAGTTTCTAGATGAATTGTATTTTTATAATTATTAATTTATAGAGTTAAAAATACAAGTATTTATGTAGGTTGGTTCTCAAAAATTATTATCTTATTATTTTATTGAATTTTCTCATTTTTTACACTGGCCCAAGTCGGGATCAGAGAAATTATTAATATATACTAGGTTATTAATTTATCGATTATTAATTAAGATAGGTTATACTGTACACATATTTAAATACAACATTTAACATTAATATCTAAATTTTTATACTTGAATCCAACAAATAACATCAACATTTAACTTTTAAATTCATTAAAACGACATCATTTTGCTTAGAAGTCGTAAATCGATCATATCGGTCATACCGGTAGTGTTCACACCTGTTTCGTTACCGACACTGGCGGAACCAATTTCAACTGGTTGGCATGCCATCTGTGTGACAACTATGCGTAAGAGAGTGGTATACTTGTGCAATGGTCCAACTAGGGCTGCAAACGAGCCGAGTCGAGTCGAGTTTTTGCTTAGCTTGAGCTCGGCTCGTTTATTAATTTTTCAGCTCGAGCTCGGCTCGAACTCGAATTTTGATAATCCAGCTCGAGCTCGAGCTCGGCTTGAATAAAAATAATCTAGCTCGAGCTCGACTCGGTAGAGCTCGATAAATGCTCATTAACATAGCTTGTTAAGCTGAGTACAAGCTCGGCTCAAGATGAGCTCGATTTAAAATCATTTTTGCTGGAAAAATGTATAAACATAAGAATTTAAATGATAGAAAGAACACTAGAAACTAGAAATAACATCTAAATTTCATACACATCTGTATTATAAGACAATGTTCATGTTTAATAGAGTAATTCATCCTTCCACAAGCTCAAAACAAGGCAGCTCGCGAGCTTAGCTCGACAAGCCACCGAATCAAGCTAGCTCGCGAGCTTATCAAGCTGAGCATGGTCTAGCTCAGGCTTGGCTCGTTAACTAACGAGTTGGCTCGCGAGCCGGCTTGTTAAATAACGAGTCGAGTGTCGAACAAGTTTTTTCCGATTCGAACGCCGAGTTGCTCGCGAGCGGCTTGGCTCATTTGCAGCCCTAGGTCCAACTCTGGTATCGATGCTAGTAAAAGAAATTTTGGATTGAGAATTCGACTATAAATGTGTTCAATTTGTCTGATTTAATCTGATTTTAGTATCTGTTCACTCTATTTTCTTCAGTGTTTTTAAAATGCATTGGGCCAAAGTTTGAACAATATTCTATTTTGGATTCAACGGAAAAAAATATTCTATTTGGTCCCCTATTATTGGGTTCAAATGTCAATTTGCTTCGGTGCGGTCCGATACAAATCAATTAGGTATAAATGTAACATCCACATTAACCTTCTCACAATCACAGGAATTACTAAAATCAAACGATTTATAACATAGTCTTAGAGCTAATTTGCCCAAGTAATCGTGTAATTAACATCTTCACAACTATTTGCGCCCAAACGATAAAGGGCGTTTGGGTCCGAGGGGTTTGGGACGTAGTCATTACTTCAAGGGAGCAGGCGCCCTCCTCTTGAAGAGCACGGGAATAGAAGAGAAAAGGTTAGAGAGAGAAAGTAGAGAGAAGTTGTAGTAAATGTAGATAACTCGCCATGTTCTCAAATTGAAATTGAAATATATAAAAGCCAAAGATGTGAGTTACTATTCATTAGTGGCTCCCAAACTCCTCTAAATGCAAGTGGACAACCTTTATTTTGTTTGTTTTTTTCACTCACATGCATATCTTTCTCCTATGCATCTCAATTTTGGAAGACGTTTCTTTCACCCAACTCTCTCAATATAATCTTTGTGTTTAACTATTATCCGTTGGGTTTCTATTGTCTATTGGGATTTCCATTGTCAACTAGGTTTTCAACTATTATTTGTTGATTTCTTCGTGATAGCTATTATCCACAGAGTTCTCATCTATTGTCAGCTTATTCGCTCACCAATTGTCACGGTGGCTACCGAAGATCCATACCAAATATGCTCTGACCAATCATCGCCTTCGACACCAATTCACATCTCATCTTGAAACATTATTGGCAGAATCCTAAGTTGTCCCCCTCCATCGTTTACCAGGACCGATACCCAATATCCATACCAAATCTGCTTTGTCTAATCCTCGGCTTCGACTCCTATTCACATCACATCTCGACGCACTATCGGCGGAATTCTAAGTTGTCCTCCACCATTTCCTACGATCGCTGATTTTTGTGGCATTGTTAATTTCGTCTTCCATGTAGTCGAACAATCTATTGCACTTTAAAAAATATGGTAACATTTGGACAATTTCAAATACTTCTTCCACTAAACTAATCATAGTCATCCCAAACAATAAGATGTCATATTCTCGCTAACACGTGAAACTGTAACGAACGGGCATATAATAGTATATTGAATGAACAACTTTGTGATTCATGTGTATCACCCATCAACAAACTATCCTAAAACTTATAAACTAGTTAGTCTATTCAGTTGCTCATACTTCCTTTCACATAATTCACATGTAATTAAATTCTTCAAAAAAAAATCATAGGATCAAATTAGTAGCAACCAACTACCATTGATTAGTCTCCAACAACCCCATTGTATTGGTCAAGAGTCTAGCCGCTCCAATCTATAAAATAATAAAGGAACATAAACTAAAAAATTTCTTTTTCATAAATACTAAGATTCGTTTCATAAAAAAGAATTATATGTCCCTATTCCCTAACAGCTAATTCGCAGAAGAATCACAATTGAGTATCTCTATTCTCCACTGACACGCCTCTACCGTCACACTAGAAAGTGACCAAGTGAAACCACCTACTAATGCGTAGTATAGAGCGTTCAGTTCTAAATGTCAACCTGGGTCTTAGGTGTGATGACTACTCCGTGAAAATCTTGTTATCTAGCGGTTCAAGTGTAGTGAAGGTTTAGTTAAACTAGCAAGCAAAGCAGTGAAAGTTGTGTTCAAGTTGAGAGATGTCACCCAGATATGGTTCCCTTAGACTGCAGTTAAGCCAGGTTGTAATTTACCAAGTTCAAGTTCAATGATAGTTATACTGCGAGGGGTTCTTAAACAGTCTGTAGTCTCGACTAAAGGTCTCCAGACCCTCTCAATCTGAATCCCCAACGGCCGACTAACCTCCACCAGAGTAAACAAATTGAGGCCCTAACGAACCAAACCTCCTCTACCGAAGTAAATCCGGTACAGAATAGTGAATTGACTCCTCGACTAAAGTTGTCAATTCACTACCTTCAATCAAGGGTGCTCTATCAACCTAGGCAGATACTCTCTTTCTAGATCAATAACAGGAATTTGATCAGGATTCATGCCATTCAAGAAATCAAACCTCAATTGAATATTAGGGGTGGCTATCCGGTCTGGTCCGGTTAAACTGGCCCGGATCGACCCGGTCCCAGTCCGGTCTTTTTGGAAATATGAGGACCAAAGATTGGACTGGATACAGTCCGGTTTTAACCCGGTCCGGTCTTGGCCCAGTCCGGTTCCAATCCGGTTTTGACCTGTTTTGACCCTGCTGCTGCTCCTCTCCATCTTTCTGAGTTCAGCTTTTTCTTACTGTAGGTCGACGGAGGGCGACGAGATGTAAACGTAGGGCAACGACCTGGGACGGAGGGGCGAGGGCGACGAGTTGCTGGTCGTGGTGGCTGGGTCACCGACGAGTTGTTGTTCGAAGTTGCTGAGTCGGAGTGGAGCCACCTGGGCGGAGGGCGGGGAGATGTTGGTCGCCGTCGCAGGGTCGGAGCGGAGACTGCCGTCGACATTGCCGGGTCAGAGTCAAGGTCGTATCGTGGTCGCTGGGTCGGATTTGCGGCGGCGGCGCGTCGCGGTGCTGGGTGGGTGCGGAGTTGGGTCGGAATGGAGGCTTGGTTCGGGGATTCGACAGGCGGCAGCTGCCATTTGCGAGAAGGAAACGGATTGGAGTAGTGGGCGCGTTGTCTCGTGATGGAATAGAGAGGGAGAGGCTCCACCTCTGCAACCCTACCAATTATACAATAGAGTGGGCTCTCCACGCTGGGCCACTGGGAGGGTAGGAGTGGGCTTGTTTGGGCCTGGTGGGCTTTACCTCTGGATATGTTTTTTATTTATCCGGTCTTCCGGTCTTGACACGGTTTTAACCCGGATTGGATTGATCCGGGTTTTTTACCAATTCCGGGACCAAAGACGGGATTGGATTGTTTTAAATCCGGTCCCGGTCTTAAACGGTCCGGGTTATACGGTCCGATTTCCGGTTTTTAATCCGGTCCCGGTCCAAATAGCCATCCCTATTGAATATAATCATATCACTGAATTCGTACTTGGGTTCTACAATCAGACTTAACATACAAATCTAGAGTTCTTCATACCCAGGTGAATGAGAAAGTTACTCCATAGAGAGAGAAGGGAACTCTAGCTCGGATGCGGAAACCATACTGTGAAGGATGGGATTCTGCTTCTGGCAATCAATCGGTACTTCTCCAAGCTCAAACCGGGCTCCAATGGTGATGAAGATCGATCTAGGGCACTTGGAGAATCAGGTTCGTCACTCTCTCTAGGTATCAGCTTTGTCTCTCTAAAATTCAGAACCCTTTAAAAGTTGGCCTTCTTTTCCTTAAGAACCAGTTGTTCGCGATCCCCGGTCGTAATCCCCAGTCGGGTATTTCTAGAATCCGACCGAGGATTTTGAAATGCAGCGCAGCACCAAAGGGGTTAATACCCGATCGTGGCCGAGAATACCCGATCGGGTATTTTTGCTCTCAGGTCGGGACCCCTTTTGCTTCTTGGCGTCCAAAAACAGTTTTCCCCAGCCTCCCATTGCATTTTACCCGGCCGGTATTTTCACTCATGGTCGGGTATTTTGCTCTTCCAGCACCCTTCTACTCCAACGTCCTCCTTTTGACCCGAAACTCATTTCCTGGCCTTCACGTCAATGCCAAGTCCTGAAATATGACATAAACACACAACCTAGCGTGAAATCGGCTTAAAACACGAGAATCGACTCTCAAACGGCTCAAGAATGGAGGTAAACACATGTGCAATCAATGGTCTATCAAATTCCCCCACATTTAACCGTTTTCTTGTCCCCAAGCAAACCTAACTCAAACCAATGCAGCTCTCCAGGCCTCTATAGCAACAAACAACCCCGATCGTCGGTAGAGGATTTCCTAGATCATATAGCAGCTTACGAGGTGAACTGGTCTTCTAAGACATCCCCTATCTCTCTCAATGCGAGTACTATACTCAAGCCAGGATCATGAGAAGAAGTGGAACTAAGACAGCAGTTCATGGGTAAAGGAACTCACACCATTCACAACCAAGGACTCATTGTACTAGGGTGGTTTTTCATTTCATTTCACCGTTGGAACCCCTTTTTCGCTTTCATTTTACCTTTCTTTTTTTTCCATTCATTTGGCGGGGGTTCCAACTGCAGTCTTTTGTACGGTCAACCCTTATTAGTCGAGCAAGAGCAATTTCTGTACATTTGGCACTCGCCAGAGTACTTCTTTTAACTCCTTTTCCTCAACTCGTGTGGGGGGTCAATGAAATTAAGGGGGGGGGTCGAAAGCTATATCTGTGCCCTTAAAAACACATCCTCGAGTAGGCAAACCGTTCAACGGGTGAAAATTTTACTTGTACTAGAGACAACTTAGCTTCACCTTGTAGGAGTACCCCACTAAGGATCACTAAAATCTCTTCCAAAACCCGATTTTGTGCAATGAACGGTGCCACACATGTTGGGCTTACCCCATGTTTAAGATTTCAATGATTTCAACATGGAGAACCAACTGCTTTTCATTTTCCACATGAGCACCCTGTTCGATACACGAGTCCACAACACAATCCAAAAGGAGTCACCAATACCACATGAATTCAACGGACTTAACTCCACTAATTCACAAAATCAACCGGCACAATAGAGAGATAGATAGGAAAAATCTTATACTTCAACATCCTCCATAGTGCTACACTACCTCCCTAGGTTGCACATTACTATAAAGACTGTCAATTCAAAGTATATCGAGCAGGCAATTTGCAAGGAACACGTACTTGGAGCCCTCAAATCGAAATTTGGACAGTGGACTAGGCTCCAAGCGCACAAAGAGATCTAAGCAGTCAAATAGAAACATCCCCCCACACTTAATTTCGGCATTGCCCTCAATGGAGAAGAGGGAAGGATAAGGGGAACGATGTTACCGGTATGCGCGGACTGCAATGAGACTGGAAGGTGGACCAGTCGGAGTGAAACAGTCTGGAATGGGACCAGTTGGGCTATGGCAAGGCTTAAGAAGACACAAGCACTTAAGCACAGATATGTTAGGTCAAATGTCAGCCCCATAGTACATCTTCCAAAAGAAAAGAAAATAAACCAAACAAAAGCCAGTTTGCACTCCGAACCAAAACAAATGCAACACAAAACGAGCAGCGAGTACAACCTACTTGAGCTCACTGAAGTTGATCTGCTCCATGAGGTCATCAACCCCATCTGTCGGTGGTGGCGGGGGTGTTGAGTGGTCCCACCAGGTAGTCCATTGGTGCTCCTGTGGCGGGTGGAAAGACTGGAGCAGGTGCTCCTCATACTCCATAATCAGGCGGCTACGATCCCGGTCCCGCTTGATGCAAGCACTGGCGCCTCCCAGCTGAGCCTCCATCCGGTCGAGGCACTCGTCCAAAACCTTCATCCGCGAGTTGTATTCGTCCTGGTGGGCCGAGTACTGCTGGTAAAACTGGACCTGATGGTCCATGAGCTGCTGGTTCTGGAGCCCGAGCTGCTGGAACTGGAGCCCCATATGATGGAACTACTCCGTGAAGAAGTCCATTGACGGACCAGAAGGACCGGAGGAGGACTCGCCTCGCTCGGGTCTCCTTCGTGGCTGAAGATCCCCTGGGGGGAGAGTGGGGGCTCCGGCTCATCTGCATCCATGGCCCCGCCATCATCATCATCATCATCATCGGTCTCATCCTCGCCAGTGTAGTCCTCCTCATCCTCATCATCAAGATTTGCATCCTCCTCGGGTGGGAGGGACAGCCATCCACCCAGGAACGCGCTCCATCAGAGGCCAGTAGGAGCGCGTTGTGAAGCACCTCCCGGGTGAGAGGGGTTGAGCCGCCCCGTGATGTGGCATCCGTGAGTCCCGCCAAGTCGATCTCGAAATGGCGCGCCAGCCTGGTGATCAGGGGACCGCAAAAGAGATGGTTGGGTTTCCCGTAGGACCGAGAGAAGGTGGTGGCCACGAAAGAACCCAAATGGAGCATATGATCCGGGTCCCCCATCGAATACATGGCGCATAGCACCCGCTTCGGGATCTTGTGGGAACCAGTGGCGTTGGGGACTATCAAGCGGGTGATCAGCAGGTTGAGGATGTGCCACTGCGGCTTGAGGGTGGAAACGTATGTCTGGCTGGCGTCGAAGTAGTCCATCCCGTAGGCGTGTCGAGCTATCTGGCGGTAAAATGCGTCCTGGTTCCAGTCCTTCCAATGTGGGATCTCTATCTCATGGCAGGAGTAGGGGTGGTATTGGATCCCCAGGGCGTAGGCCAGCCCATCGATGCTCATCTGTCGTGGGTGCCCACCCAGCCTGAAGGTGACACCGGTGGGGGAGTCCCAGGCCGCTTTGGAGCGGTACCGGAAGGTGGTGTAGAACTCCCACACCAGCTTTGTGTAGGTGGGCTCATCGATGCTCAGCAACGTCCACCAATTAGGGTGGCTGATGGCGGTGGAGATCTCGTTCATGTAGTGAAGCTGCTCGAAGACCCCCCCACTCCAAATGGTGATGGCGTTGGAGCACTCCGCGTATGACCCGACGGTACTGGTTAGCGTACTCCGGGTGCAGGCGTAGATCCTGCATGAACGGGTGATCGAGCGACATGATCCTGCAAAATCAACAAACCAAAGGTGGAGCCAAGAAAATACTCGTTAGGACCAACAATATGGGTTCAACAAGTCACCCACATTGTAAGGACACCACCTAGGGCCCACAATCAAGCCCAAACGATTGAGAAAACAACCGCAACTAAAGCAAGAATCATGCACAAACGATCCATTCCAAGCAACCGGGTATTATACAAACAGTAACCAACCAAACCCACAACAGCCCTCACCCTGATGCGATATCGACTAGCGCGATATTCAATTCTCGTGGTCCCAAAATGAAGTTTCGAATTCAACGATTTAAGGATCAACTGGGAGCATTCTTGATGGATAAAATGGAGAATGCAATAAGGATCCGGCCTACAACATTTCTTGGAGCCCAAAAATGTCCATCCTTGTTGCCCAAAGTCATCCAAATGTGAAAAGGACAAGGAAAGAGATTGCTTAACCACTAAGGAGCTTCCTTAAGCATTAAAAACGTGTTTGGAGATTACTTAGCTGGTAAGGAGCTTCCTTTGGTCATAAAAACGAGTTATAGTCCTTATTTAAGTAGTATTATGTTTCCTAGTTAGTTTGGGATTTGTTTTCCTATTCCTTTTAGGTTAGTTTTATGTTTTTGTGATCTCTATAAATAGAGGATGTAAGAGCTACGAATTTTGTACCCAACATTCAAGTTTCAGCAATCAAATACAAGTGTTTACAAGTTCAAGTGAACGTTTTGCTTATTCGCTCCTTTGAGGATTCGGGAGGTTTGAGTGGTCTCTTATCAACTAGAGAACGCGTCTAGTTGTGGCGAGCATCAACGATATCGGTTGGCCTCTTCCACGAGTTCGAGATTGTTTGGAAGGTTTCATATACCTTCTGGCCCTTCTCACGAGTTCGGATTTGTTTGATTGATTTCCGCGACTATCCTTTATTTTCGTGTTATTGAAGAAAGAAGAAAATCCCAAAAGAGTTCGACGTTGTGCGATTCTGATTTTTTGTCCAAGTTTGGGAGGACTCTCGAATTAGGATCATATCAATTGGTATCAGGAGCCCGGTTCAAACGCAGCGGAGAAGAGAAAGATTCTTGGAGTTCTTGGTAGTTCGAGAAGCATTCTTGGAAGTATTGAACGTCAAGAAAGCAAATCTTGAACGTTCTTGAGAGTTTCTTGTGCGGTAAGGAAGGTATCTTGAAGACAAAGCATTCGTGGGGTTCTTCTTTAGCAAGAAACCATGGCGGAACAAGCACAAGACGTGGCGGCAATATTACGACACATCAGCGCGCAAATAGAAGCTTATCGTCAAGGGCAAGCACAAATAAATGCGAGCCTTACTCAATTGGCAATTTCATGGGGAATTAGTGCGTCAGCCGTGATAATCCAACCAGAAGCTCCATTGAAGATAGGGAATCCAAATCCAGAGCAAGAGCATTCTTTTGAGGCTACCATAGAGACACAAGAGACAAGTCCAGAAGTCTTTGACATCGAGATTCAAGCATATCAGGTAGAAGATATTCAAAGCCAAACGACAATACAACATCAAGACGAGGAGTATATAGAAATATCGCCTATGGAAGGTCCACTTTTGGATACTTCTTGTGAAGAGTATGAAGATTTCGATGAAGAAGAAGCGATAAAAGATATTTTTGTTAGTGTTCCAGATTTGAGTGCACCTAAGGAATCAGAATTTCATGGAGAAGATGAAGTCATGAAAGTCATGGAGCATTTACCAATTGTTCCAGAAGTTGCTCATATTGATTTTGTGATTGGAGATACTATTTCCAAAGAGGAAGCCCGACTAGAGAATCGACGAGAAGTTCAGAGCTACATGGAGGGTTTTCATCGCAATGGTGTCTCTACAATTCGTGGACGAATTGTTCTTAAGAAGGGGGGAATGATACAATCCTCACTACCAAGACAATTTAATTCAAAGGCCAAGAAGAGTGGTGCTGATAGAGGATCAAGATTCTATAAAGATTCGAGGTCGAATCTTCTTCAAGAGAGAGGGAATGATGCGATATCGACTAGCGCGATATTCAATTCTCGTGGTCCCAAAATGAAGGTTCGAATTCAACGATTTAAGGATCAATTGGGAGCATTCTTGATGGATAAAATGGAGAATGCAATAAGGATCCGGCCTACAACATTTCTTGGAGCCCAAAAATGTCCATCTTTGCTGCCCAAAGTCATCCAAATGTGAAAAGGACAAGGAAAGAGATTGCTTAACCACTAAGGAGCTTCCTTAAGCATTAAAAACGTGTTTGGAGATTACTTAGCTGGTAAGGAGCTTCCTTTGGTCATAAAAACGAGTTATAGTCCTTATTTAAGTAGTATTATGTTTCCTAGTTAGTTTGGGATTTGTTTTCCTATTCCTTTTAGGTTAGTTTTATGTTTTTGTGACCTCTATAAATAGAGGATATAAGAGCTACGAATTTTGTACCCAACATTCAAGTTTCAGCAATCAAATACAAGTGTTTACAAGTTCAAGTGAACGTTTTGCTTATTCGCTCCTTTGAGGATTCGGGAGGTTTGAGTGGTCTCTTATCAACTAGAGAACGCGTCTAGTTGTGGCGAGCATCAACGATATCGATTGGCCTCTTCCACGGGTTCGAGATTGTTTGGAAGGTTTCATATACCTTCTGGCCCTTCTCACGAGTTCGGATTTGTTTAATCGATTCCGCAAGTATCTTTATTTCGTGTTATTCAAGAAAGGAGAAAACCCCTAAAAAGTTCGACGTGTGCAACTCTGGTTTTTGGTCCGATTTGGGAGGATTCTCGAATTAGGATCATATCATACCCTATGCTAAAACAAACATGCCAGACAGTTCACAGTTCTCGGCCCTAACATCTATAGTCCAATTCTCCAGAAAAATATCGAATTAAGCAAGAAACACACTTGGAGACACAAGTAACATGGTAGACAGACGCGAGGGAAGGGTGAGGGATGCGGGAAAAACTCAGAAACGGCCCGGGAAAGCCGTCGGAAAGTCGCTGGAAAGTCGCCAGAAAACAGCGATGGCGGCGGTGGCGATGGCCAGAGGTGACCAGCGGCGCCGGGGCGGTGGAGCGACGGCGGGCGGTGGCCGGCGACGCTCACGCGGGAGAGAAGTGGAGAAGAAATGAGAGGGAAGAGAGGGAATTCTGAAAAAAATGAGAGGAGAGAGAGGGGGCCGGTCGGGGATTTGCTTATAAAGCAAAAATACTCGGTCGGGCCTCAAAAATACCCGGTCGGGTATTTTTGAGGCCACGGTCGGGGGTTGCAAAACGCGGCATACCACGTGCGGGATAAACCCGGCCTTGAATAAAAAATACCCGGTCGGGTAATTTTGAGGCAAGGTCGGGCTTTTGCCCTTTTGCGCCCCAAAACACAGAAGAGGTCCCGGCCGAGACACAAAAATACCTGGTCACGGCCTGGTATTTTCCCCTTTTCGGCCAAAAATTACTTTTTCTCATTTTTTCTAACTCTCCTGCACGAAAACACCAAACAGAGGCAGATCAGACGATCTAACTACAACACAGATGTGCAACTGACTCGACACACAACAAAACAAGGGAAAAAGGGAAAAAGAAATGCAAACCGTGGTGGGGTTGCCTCTCCACAAGCGCTTCTTTACCGTCTTTTAGCTGGACGCCCATGGCGGAACTAAGGGTCCGCGAGTTCAACCACCAACTCCGCTCGTTCGACCTCGTCTCCCATATAGAGCTTGAGACGATGGCCATTCACTTTAAACGGCTCAGTATGCGGGTTGGCAATTTCAATTGTGCCATACGGGAAAACCTGTGTGACCGTGAACGGTCCAGACCACTGGGAGCGGAGCTTTCCAGGAAAGAGTTTCCGGCGAGAGTTATAGAGGAGAACTCGATCAGCAACCTCAAACTCCTTCGGACCCCTTAACCGCGCGTCGTGCAGGCTCCTAGTACGCTCCTTGTACAACCTAGTGTTCTCATAGGCATGGTAACGCCATTCCTCCAGCTCCAGCATATGCAACTTTCGTTCAACACCTGCAACACTAACATCCAAGTTGAGCAGCTTAAGGGCCCAGAAGGCCTTGTGCTCTAGCTCCACGGGCAAATGACATGCATTTCCATAGACAAGCCAGTACGGTGAAGTTCCAATTGGTGTCTTGTAGGCAGTGCGGTATGCCCAGAGAGCATCATCGAGCTTGGTGGACCAATCCTTGCGGGACTAATCCACCGATTTCTCCAGTATATGTTTGAGCTCCCGATTCGTTAGCTCGGCCTGACCACTCGTTTGAGGGCGATAGGCCACGGACACCTTATGAGTGACACCATAGCGAGACAACAACTTATCAAACTGGCCCTGGAAATGGGTGCCTCGGTCGCTTATGATGGCTCTAGGTGTCCCGAAGTGGGAGATTAGCTGTTTCAAAACTCCACAAACTCGTCTAGCATCATTGGTGGGCAAAGCTTGCGCCTCAGTCCACCTAGAGACGTAATCAACAACAACTAAGATGTAGGTATTTCCAAAGGATGGAGGGAAGGGGCCCATGAAGTCGATACCCCAGACATAAAAAATCTCACAGGTTATAAATACATTCTGGGGCATCTCATCACGGGCAGAGATATTACATGACCTCTGGCAGCGGTCGCACCTGCGTGCGAAGGCGTCTGCATCCTTGAAGAGCGTGGGCTAGTAAAAGCCCGACTGTAGCACCTTTCTCGCCGTGCGGTTACCGCCATGGTGACCGCCAGTAGGTCCCTCATGGCAGTGAGACAGAATGCCCTCCATCTCACTTTCCATGACACCACGACGGATTATCCCGTCGGCTCTGATCCTGAAGAGATGAGGGTCATCCCAGAAGTAGTGCTTCAGGTCGAGAAAGAACTTCCTCTTGGTGTGAGTCGTCATCCCCTTTGGCAGCTGCTGGCCCACCAGATAATTTGCAAAATCGGAGTACCAAGGGGTGACACTCTCCACCAGGCACATCATCATCAGTCGCTCATTTGGGAAGGAGTCGTTGATCTCCTCCACGAGGTTGTCCGCAGGTGGTGCGTCCAACCGGGAGAAGTGATCAGCAGCAACATTTTCAGCTCCCTTCTTGTCCCGAATCTCGATGTCGAACTCCTGCAGTAGTAAGATCCATCGTATGAGCCTACGCTTGGCATCGCCCTTACTTATCAGGTATCGAATCGCAGAGTGATCTGTGTACACGGTCACATGGGACAAGACCAGATAAGGACGAAACTTGTCGAAGGCAAACACCACCACGAGCAGCTCCTTCTCCGTGGTGATGTAGTTCTCCTGGGCATCATTGAGGGTCTTCGAGGCATAGTAGATAGGACGGAAGTGTTGATCTCGCCTCTGCCCTAAGACAGCTCCAACGACAAAGTCACTAGCATCGCACATCAGCTCGAACGGTAGGGACCAATCAGGGGAGACCATGATAGGAGCATGAGTGAGCTTTTCCTTTAAAGTCGTGAATGCCGCTGTGCATGCATCGGTGAATTGGAAGGGGGCATCCTTCTCAAGGAGCTTTGTCAGGGGCAGGGCGATCTTTGAGAAATTCTTGATGAATCGCCTGTAGAACCCTGCATGGCCTAAGAAACTCCGGATCTCCTTAACAGATGTGGGAGGAGGCAGCTTACTGATAGTCTCGATCTTTGCCCTGTCCACCTCAATCCCCATCTTGGAGATCTTATGCCCCAGAACTATGCTTTCGCGAACCATGAAGTGACACTTCTCCCAACTTAGTGCCAGGTTCGTCTCTTCACACCGTTTAAGGATGAGTTCTAGGTTATGGAGACAGTGAGAGAATAAGTCCCCATAAACCGAAAAGTCATCCATAAACACCTCCATAATCTCGTCGACCAGGCGGTCAAAGATGGCGAGCATGCATCGCTGAAAAGTGGCAGGGGCATTGCATAGCCCGAATGGGATCCTCAGGTATGCGAAAGTGCCGAAGGGGCAGGTGAAAGTGGTCTTCGCCTAGTCCTCCGGTGCAATGGGGATCGAGAAATACCCGGACATCCCATCCAGGAAATAGTAGAACTCGTGCCCCCGCCAGTCTCTCCAGCATCTGATCAATGAATGGCAGCGAGAAATGAGTCTCTAGCTTACTGATAGTCTCGATCTTAGCTCCAGCTCTGGTGGCTCCTCCAAGGAGGTAGTGATGCGAGGTGAGGATGTGATCGATTTGAACAGCCTATCGCCACTCTCCAGCGCGGCCAATTGCTCCTCCAGCTGCGGCTCCCGTGATGCCTGCTCACCTAGCAAAATACAACGCTCAAGAGCATCGTCAGTACCCGCACTCGTTATGGCGAGCGCGGTCTCAAAATCAGCAAGCATATCACAGTAATCTAAGTCGTCATGCAAATGGGAGTGTTTCCCATTCTCAGACACAGAAAAAGTAGCCTGTTCATCTCCAGCACGCAAGATCAGTTTACCACTATGCACATCAATAAGCGCCTTGGCGGTGGCGAGAAATGGTCTACCCAAAATTAAAGGCACATCCACATCCTCATTTATATCCAGAATAACAAAATCAACAGGATAAGTGAATGCACCTACATTAACAAGCAGATCCTCTATGATACCTTGGGATGTCAATCCAACCCGTAACCATGGGTACCCTACCCGACAGTAACTGGTCAACGAGGGTAATTACCCGCTTTGACGGGTTCAGGGGCGGGTACGGGTAATACCCAGTTTCAAAATAAAGGGTAGGATACGGGTATGGTAATCGATAATATCCGCCCCGTTATACCCGCCCCGCTAACCAAAGGGTCAATTTCCCTTTAGAAATTTAGTTTATCTTGAGAAATTTAGTTTAGCTACCATTATTGATGATGAAGATGTAGACGATTATTATGTTTGTGTGGATTGTAGAAGCAAGAACAATTATTATGTGTTTGCTATTTTTATTTGTGTGGATTGTTGAAGCTAGAACAGTTATAAGTATTGAGAATTTTTAATGGACAACAATATGTAGGGGCATATATGTGTATAAGACTATAAGTTCATAGTTTAGGATTCGTACCCATGGTTACCCGAATATCCGTGGTTACCCGGTGGGTAGGGTATGGTTATATAATTTTCATACCCGGTGGTTATTTGGTCGGGTATTTTAGAAGGCTCTACCCGGCGGGTTAGGAGTTGGTATAGGGTAAACCCGCACCCGACCCTACCCATTGCCATCCCTAGTGATACCCCTAGGATGATCAATAGAGCGATCAGCTAACTGAATGCTCATCCTAGTAGTTCTAGGTTGACCTAAGCCTAGCTTCTTAAACAATTTGTAAGGCATGACATTTATACTAGCGCCTAAATCCGCCAAGGACTGTCTTACATGCATGCTGCCAATAACAAGAGGGATAGTAAAACTCCCTGGGTCTTTGCGCTTCTTGGGCAGCTTGTTCTACAAGATGGTAGAACACTCCTTGCTCAGCATCACTATCGAGAGATC